AACATTATATTAAGACATGTTGATTTCTAGATATTGAGCGTTGTAGCTAATTACAACGTAAAGTCGGCCGTTAATAATTAGTCCCTCCCCTCATTTGATACCTACTTTCGCAAATACAAATTTAAATACAAATATATGCTATTGGCATTTTCCAAATACAAATACAAATGTTTATACATTTTGTCAAGAAAAAATATAAAAAACTTTTGAGACAAGACTGATAAAATGGTTTATTAAATAAAAGAATGTAAACAAGTCTTCCAACAAGTATCGTAAACATATTTCAATACAATCAAATACAAACACAAATATTTAAGAAATTTTTTCATCAAATACAATACGAAAACAAATACGCCAAATTAGCTTATTTTTACCAAATACAAACATGTATTTGACCTTAAACTTGACAATAACAAATGAAAGTCTGTATTGACATTAATTTTAATTGAACGTGAGGTTGCTGCGAGCATTGACTTTGAATTTTGAGTAAATTATTTTGCTTCAACCCAACAGGCATAGACGTTTGTAAGCTGTCTATAAAATCTCTTTAATTCGTTGCTTAATTGTTATTACAAGTTGCTACCAATTTTGTTTCAAAGTTTACAATCTCAAACAAAAAATTAAAAAGTTTTCCAAGCATGAGAATTAATGAAAATTGAGTTGGCACTAATTGTTGGCAAAAATGTGGGCACTTTTTAGAAGTTTAAATAAAAGTAAACTAAATGTGGACAACGCAATAAATTTTATGTAAAAGTAAACAAACATTTGTAAGATCTTAATGTTCAAAATCATTATCAATAATGGCTGCTATTTTGCTAACTTGTACTATATATAGGTAGCTATTTTTTATATTTCTGATCATATTATCATACCTTTATTGTTAAAAGTTGCCGCTAACTAATTGCTAGCTCATTTTCCTCTGGGTGTTTAAAAGAAATAAACAAGCTACTAAGTTATTTATTAGAAATTTATTATATGTATATATTAACCATCTAAAGATTTATTTTTATACAATTAAAATTTATTTAGCATTAATATTTTATAGCCAATCTTATAACGTTTGAATGATTAAAAATTTACAGTTTTAATTAAAAATATATCTTTGTAAGATTAAAATATACCAGGTAAATTTGCCAGTGACAACTTCTTTTATTACAATTTTTGGAATCAACCCTCAAAAATTTATAAAAAATAGTATTAAAAATGTTTTACATTGTTGGGCTGTGTTCTTCAATATTATTGAAACCTACCAAATAAAAATCTGAAGAATTATAAAATTATAATTGCAAATGAAGTGAAACTTTGAAAATGTAGGTTAACGTGAAAATGAAGTGTAACTTTGCCTAAACTTTGTAAAGCAAAGTCCAAGTTTTTCTAAATTTGATTTTGTAATCATTTTTTTATTATTCAAAAATCAATTCTTCAGTTCTTTAACTTCTTTATATCAGTTCTTTACCTAGAAATGTTTTGCAAGATCCTTACAAAATTCTCTGTTGGCATATCCTTCAGATGTAATTATAGAACCTTTACAATAAAACATAAATTTGTTTATTGTAAAGGCTCGGCTTAAAACAAAGTTGTTTAAAAAAAAAATGTCTTGCGATTCATCAGCCACATTTGTAACGATAAAAACTGCAATATGGAAACGCGGACCTAGCTGCATAACCTACCGACGAGTTAATGACAGTTCGTAACAATCAAAACAGTCATTTATTTACACGAATTGCTAGCTGCATAAGCTAGATGCTAGTTAGCAGCAACTCGTAACAATAAATACAGTAGTATGATAACAAAATTACTAATAACGTAGTGCTAGCTAGAAGTTAACAAAATACTAAAGAAAAAAATTAAAAATGAGAGGAAATACTACTATTTTACGCATTTTTAAACTAGCAAGTGCTGTTAAACATTCAAGTCTTACAAATGTTGCTTAACATTAGTTGAAACTCCTTCAAGTTACCAACAATTAGTCATTTTTAATTGATTGATTACCAACAATTTGTCATTTTTACTTGATTTTTACTGGAAGTAAATCGGGGTGAGACGTTTATAATTCTATGGGTAATGGTAAAATAAATTACATCAAAATTTCAATTAGACAATCTTTTTTCAGTCCTAATTCGGACTGAAAAAAGATGCTATTTTTCTAAATCTTTCTAACCTTTCTGACATTTTATGAAAAATTTATTTTTGCCTCATTACATATTATCGTAAAACGTCACTTTAATAGAAACTTTAAGAAATTTATAATATAATGTTTTAGTTTTTTGTTTACTAAGTTTAAATAAATGACACAAAACTAAGTTTAGTGTTATTTTTTATGAACTAAATATTTTTGTTGTTTATTCATAAAAAGTGAAATATTGTTTACAGTCTTAACCAAAATTTTTTGCTTCTTCATATTTTAAAGGCATATTAAAAATATGGAGCTACACGATGTCGTATAAGTGTATTTTATTATAACAGGACTACTTTGTATTTTTGACTCGATTTTCTTTATATTTCCTCCAATCGAATCTAATAAAAATTTTCTTCGTTTTTTTAAAAATTAAATTTTGCTATCAAGTTTCACTATTTCCCAGATTCTGAGTAAAGTAATACAAGTTAGTATAGACATTCTGAAAAATAAAAGAGAATATTAGACATATAATGAGCTTATAACTTGAAAATAGTTCTGTTGTGCAAAGCGTTTTATTTTTAACTTTAAACATTTTTCCAAAAAGTGTTTTACTTTGACCCAGGCTATTCTAGTATAGTCAGGTCAATGTTGTTTACTTTAGTTTAGTTACTGTTTATACTAAAACATACTTCTTATTATACATTACTTATATCATCACCATTGTTGTTATTAACATATTTACTTATGCAGTTGTGAATTACAATAAATACAAACAGGAGTTGTGGTTTATTCTCTATTAGCTACCCAGCCGGCACAACTCGTTAAAAAATTACTAGTGGTTTCTGTTGCGTGTTTAAAACTCCTGAAAACACTAAGAATATCACGTGTCAAAAATAGTTTTGATTCCGTGAAATTAACTACTACCATTTACCAAAGTACGTGTTAGAATATTAAGTTTTTACTAATGGCTTCACAATTACAAAAATGGAATATTATATTATTTAAAGTTTCCGTTACGAAACCATGAATAAAACCAAACAAAACTTATCGACTAGAACTGTACAGAATTCGGAAACAGAACGTTTTTGTAAAAGCGTTTTCTTCTAAAGCATGGTTTGTAAAAGTTATTCGGAAATAAATTTTCTCTTTACATAAATTGTGATTTTACTTTACACCACATTATTTATGTCTATTATTGTCAAATATTAGTATTTATAAATACTAATATTGTTATAAACATCAACATAAAATGCGTTATATATATAACGCATTTTATGTTGGTGTTTATAACAATATTAGTACTTATAAATACTAATATTTGGCAATAATAGACACAAATAATGTGATATAAAGTAAAATAAAAATTTAAATAAAAAATTAAAAAGTCAATCATTGATCAAAAATTAAAAAAAAAACTAGTTTGCATGATTGAAATCTTAGTATAAATTCCGTAGCAGGCTTTAATAAATTTTTCGTGAAGTCTACGTATTTTTGGTTTACAATTTGATCACGTTATACACGTGTATGTTTTAGATTTAATTTCTGTATTGAAACCTCATAAGACTCGTATTTATAACCTCATAAAACCCGTGTTTAAAAAATAAAATAAACTTGTGTTTGAAACCTCAGAAAACACGTGTATAACTCCAGTTCAACTTCCCGTGAAATCCACGTGTTTTTGGTTTACGCCTGGATCGTAACAATTACGTGTTTATACGGGTTTTAATTCCGAGATTAAAACTAGATGTGCCGGCTGGGTAATCACTTTATGGAAATCAAATACAAATATCCACAAATCATAAACATCCAAAGTATCAAAACCACAGACCAAGAGTCAATTAGTTTAAAAAAAAAAGAAATACAAAAAGTAGAAGAAAAGAAGTAAGCATTTAGAATATTGAAATGACGTAATTTTATTAATACTAACTAGATAGTAAAAACTAGACTAATGGTATTGTGTTTTTTGGTATCGTGGTTTATCCTCCGCCAGCTAATTGCCTTGTGGAGGCCACATTACCAAGGTCTGCAGAGACTTATTTCGGCTCCCAAGGGAACATCATATCTTGCTCTACAGTCCAAGAGTAAAGTGAGTTTGGGAAGAACGAAGATATGTTAGAGTAAAAGATAGTAGTCGAGTTAAAAAGATGGCATAGAGAAAGCCGATAGAATTGCACAAGATATTAGGGAGTGCAATACAAACTGATTTGGTTAGGTCGTAATCGGACTTAGCTTCCCAGTCAGGTAAGCTTGATGAAACTAAACTAGATAATGTAGATTTAGCTACAACATTAGATTAGATTTATTCTTATTATTATTTATATCTTAATTTTTTTAATTTCTTGTTTGTGGTTATAACTTTCTAAAATAAAATTTTAATAGTTACGATATGTAACTAAATGTCGTAATAAAATCAAAATACCTAAAGTTTATTTTTTCTCTTTCTATGTATTTACTAAAAAACTAGCTTTTTAGTAACTACATAGCAATTAGATAGCTACTAGCTTGCGACTAGATAGCAACTAGATAGCAACTAGCTAGCTAGCTAGTTGCTATCTAATCGCGCTTTAAAATTATTTCTCCAGAAATTTTGATTTTATCTGATGTATGCCTATTTCGCATGAATTCTTAATTTTTAGTAATAAAATTTTTAAATTTATGACTTTTAGATTCAACTAAGTAATTAAAATTTTTACTTTATATTTTAATTATGCAACTAAAGTTTCAATATTTTGCGAGTATCAATAACACGTAATATTATCTCAAGCCAACTATAGCTTCTTTTTTATTTTGTTTACAATATATAGAGTAAACAAAATTAATTCAAAAAACTATTAAAATAATAATACTAATAAGACAAAAATAAACTTTTATGTAATCATACCTTGAATTTAATTTCACCAGAGTCATTCAAATTAATGCTTGCTTCGCTAATGCTCAAACTTATTAAATTTAATTTGCCAAGAACGTTAGCTGTTTTTCACAGTTGTACAAACTGTTGTTTGAATTCTTGATTTACCATTAAACGGTTCTTACATATCATACTCAACTACTTCCAAAATTGTTGTTACTTTCAGTACTAATTAGATGTCACGGTTGATTACTCATTTCTCTGTTTTATTTTTTTTTTAAATGTGCGATTCGTAAATATTTACTTGAGACTCTTTGAAAACAAATCTAAAAAACAAATTTATGAAACGCTTGTTGTCAAAAGTTTGAAGTTAAAACAAGCGCCAAACATTGCACAGTTTCCATTTTATTTAAATTTGCAGTCTACATTAATTTTAAAACCGGCATAAATAGTTTACTTATTACATTGATAAAAATTAACCCTTGTTTATATTTAATTTACCTTAATTTCAAAATCTCATTTTCAACTTAATTATCTAATTACTTGCATTCGGTATAGTTTTGGAAACAATTTCAATTTAAAGGAATTTTTTGAATTCGGTATAATTTTGAAAAAAATTTCGACAAATCTAAAAAAATATTTGAGCAAGCGTTATTAAAAAATTGTTTATTAAATATATTAATTGCAGTTTGAATACATTTAATAGAAAAATGAAAAAGTTATTAATCTTTCTTGATTTTACCTAAAAAAAAATTAGTAGAATTCTGTTTAAAATGTCTCTTTATATCTCATGACAAAAAAATGATTTCATGTCTTTAATGTTTACATTAAAGACATGAAATCGTTTTTTTGTATGAAAATATCTACAAATATTAAGGACCAAAAACATTTGATACAAATACTACACCTGATCAGAGGCGATTTTACGGTTAGGTGGGGGTGGGGTGGGGGGTGTTACACCCCCAAGGAAGGTGATTTTCAAGTTATAGTCGATTTTTTTTACGAGTTTAGTCGGCAGTTGGCTATTTGACGCAATTCAGTTTGTTAAATTTTCGTTTTAAGGACCTTTTTTCTTTTTTTTTTCTCCCCCCCCCCCCCCCTCATTTTATTTGTAGAATTGCCTCTGTATCCTATACAAGCGTTTCAATTCTCAGACTTTTTTTTTTTTTTTTTTTTTTGTTATTCACCTCCTCAAGGCCGAGAAGGCCAATACAAAAACGAGGAGGCTACTAAATAGTGGTTATAACCCTCTCTCAACTCTATAACTCCGAAACACGAACCTTGACGAACAAGGCCGCTGCGCGGAGAAACAAGTTGAGCGCGGTACTACCAGGGACGTGGTGGGGATCGAACTTGGAACCTCTCGTTTATGAAGCGAGTGTTTTACCACTACACCACTACCGCATACTTACAAAACTTATTGTTGTTTCTAACGAACAGGTCAATGTGGACCAAAAACATAGTCATAAATGAACAATATTATACAATTGGTACTGAAAAAGAACACTCAAAAAATTATAATAGTCCAATATTTAAAAAAAAAACATGAATTAAAAAGAAAATGAAAGCAAAATTTAAAGTTTTATTATTATATTTTTATAAAGCATTATATAATATAATTTTGAACCTTTATTTGTGTTATTATCTATTCAACTAAATTTAAATTACTTTACATAAGAGTGTTCCTAAATATAACTTTTTTGCATGTTAAGGTTGCAGGCCTAACAATTTTACATGATTTTTGACTCTGTGAATCCTTGTTTATATAGGGTTTTAATCCTAATGACCAATTGAACAACCTTTGTGTTTATTCTCAGTTACTATATTTTAACTGCTTATTTTAATTAACTAATTTTATATCCGTAAACCAGGAGTTTGCCATAAAGCTAGGTACAGTATATTTAAAAAACAATATCATATAAATAATAAAATTTGTGTAAGTTTTTAATTAGTGAAATAAATATAATAAATAGACATCATATAAACAAAAGATACATTTTGCCTAAACTTAATAGCTCTAAATAACTGAATATTTTTATTTTTATTTTAATAACAATTTTAGGGGGGATTGTTCCTGCCCCTCTTCCTCTTCTTGATTTTTAAGTTATAGTCGGTATTTTGACGAAATTAGTCTGCTATTCGGTTATTTGACACAGTTCTGGCGAATTTTAGTTTTGAGGCCTTTTTTTTTCATACAAAATTGATAAAGAATTTTTTTGCATGAAAATTGCTGCGGAACTGCTTCTGACCATGAAAAACCTAAAGTTTATTTAATTAATAAATAGTTTTTTTCGTATATTGAATTAAAATAGTTTTTTTGTAATTTTTCAAAGGTTAGTTTTTATTTTATTTTTAACTAGTTTAGCGTGATTTTCTTAGTATCTTTATCAATTCTTACTAAAATTTATTTATTTTACTTTTTCCTAGTTATTTGGGGAAAAGTTAATGTTTTTTTTCTTCATAAAAATCGATTTTTTTTAATTTTTAAAATATTTTTTCTCTATTTTTTTATACTTATATTATGGAAAAAATTCTCTATAAAACAAAACAAAAATAAACTACAGTATATTTTTTCTTTTAAAAAATATTGATTTTGAACCCAAACCATTTACAATTACCCCAGTTCTTAATTTTATTTATTTTTATTTATTTATACTTTTGCCAATAGGAAAAAAAATTTAAAGTCGTAACTTATAAAAAATAATGACCAGATTACAATTAAAAAGTTTTTAAAAACTTTATTTGATTGGAAAAAAAACTATATCATTCTATACCCATTTTTAGGGAGAATGAAATGTGCAAAATGATGGATAATTAAAAGAATACTTAATTAAAAATGCTACCAATGATAACAATTAAAAAAAATAACAATAATAACAATTTAAAAAACAACCAATTAATTAAGAAATATATCTTTAAGTCTTTAAGAGGTTCTGGAAGTTGAGTTGAGTTTTCACTTAAGCCGCACTTTATGGTCAATAAAACACGGTGCCTTTAATATATCGCTTTGAAATGTTTGACAAAAACATTTTAATTCTAATTTAAAACTTTATTTATAGTTGATTGCATTTGGTAGTTTATAAATAAACTAATTAAAATCAACACTATATAGACAGTGCAAACAAACAAAAACATTGTAAAAAAATCCATAAAAAAAAACCAGTAACAAACTAGCATAACAACATACATAAATAAAATATGATGCATAAAAAAATCTAAAAAGGAAAAAAAATAACTTCATAAATACCGTAAAAAAAAAAAAAACTTCGCAAATACCGTAAAAAGAACAAATAAATTTATAAATTCGTAAAAATGACATGATTAGCAATAATAATACATAAACTTAAGTTTTACAAATTTTACAAAAACATTTTTCACAATTCCAATGTAAAATATTAGTTTTGAACATCTGGAGACATTTTGAGCACATGGTTTTATTATCAAGGAAATTCCAGAGTAGGGATGGATGGTTTTATTATCAAGGAAATTCCAGAGTAGGGATGGCACTTTTACTTATTTTGATGTAAAAACGTGAATTACTTTTAAGCGCAAATTACTTTATATAACTTATACAAAAATATATAACTTACTTACATTTAAAAGTAATTCGTTTTTTTTTTACGTAAATTATATAACGTGTAAAACTTAATTACTTAAGTTAAGTTTTTTAAATGAGTAACTGTTACTTATAAAAGTAATTTACTTTTACAAGTAAAAGTTATTTGCATTTTTACTTTTACTTGTAAAAGTAACTTACTTTTAATGGTAAGTCGTGTAAAGTAAATTACTTTCAAAAGTAATTTTGGTTATAATTATGTAAAAAATTTACATCGAAATGTAATTTACTTTTTAAATGTAAAAAAAGTTATTTATGAAGTAAACTTACGTAAATATAATATTTAAAAAACATAACACTTACTTTACCAAGTAAAATAAAACTACTATGATGTAGTTTTATTTTACAAATTACTTTTACGTGTAAAAGTAACTAATTAGCATTAATTAGCTTACATTAAAGTAATTTTAAAAAAAATTGTTATTTACTTTTACAAATAAAAGTAATTTTTTCTTTGAAATTTTATACTTTACTTTTTAAGTAAGTAAAATGTAAGTTACATTATTTACTTTCTTAAAGAACAGTCATTTAATGTTGATTTAACGTAAATTTTGAAACGCAATATAATTTCATATATAATGAAATTATATTGCGATTTATCATATACAATGAAATTTCTATTTGAAAAAAGATGGTAAGAAAAGCTGTTTAATCTTCTAATATATGTTGTGGGCACCCTAACAACCTACTTTTTGTTGCGTTGGTGTCCAACCCGCACAAGGACAATAGGACAAATAAAATCTTATTCAATTAAAATAGCGCTTTAGAATAAACTTGTAATTTTTTTTTTCAAACTATATTTTGACTTTACAAGATGTTTGTCGGCTATTACCCAGCAAACATTTAAGCGTTGAATCAACGTTGAAAACCAGTCGCAGCGTAGAAAAAGCGTTACAGTCACAAAAACAACGTGCTTTCAACGTTGAATCTATGTCTTTTTTTGTATACTAAATCGCGGTAAATTGAAACGTTGAATAAACGTTGAAATTGTAACGTAATTTAGCTTCTCAAAATACAACATTTATTCAACGTGGAATCAACTTACGCAAAAAACCACTTTAAAAACGTTTTAAAGCATATGCTTTATCAACGTTAAAAACAAACCGCTTTTTAAACGTTACATTTTCAACGTTGAATAAGCGTATAAATTAAAACGTATCTTATCTTCTCAAAAAATCGCGTTTATTCAACGTTGAATAATCAAGTTGATAACGTATCTTATCTTCTCAAAAAATCGCGTTTATTCAACGTTGAATAATCAATCAATTGAAGTCCGCAAATAATCACTGTAAAAACGTCGCAAAGTTTATGGTTTATCAACGTTAGACATCAGCTGCTTTTTTAACGTATTTAAGCTATTTATAAAACAACGCTCATTTAACGTTACGTATACCAAGTTTGAAAGTGTAGTAATTAAAAAACGTTGAAAAAGTGTTACTTTGCCAACGTTAATAAAACATTTTTTTGACAACGTTGAGGAAGTGGCACATTGAAAAATTATTGTCTCAATAACTAGCCATTACAAAAATAATTTGCCGTAATGGAAAGGCAAGGAAAACTTAATAGAATGCATGCATATGGTTTAAAAATATTTTAATAAAGTTATATTTTATAACCTATTTTTATTGAGAATAACTTAAAACTTAGATTTTATATCAAATTGTATAAATATACAAATATCTCAGGGTAAATTCGACAGACTAAATCAAGTCTGTTAACATACTAAATTCTTAATTTATTTAAAAAACTTTGAACACGTCACCCTAATTATCAAGTACATACTTTAGTATGAGTCTTCCACCAATAATAAAAGTATGCATTATAATGTTTTTTTTTTGTATAAAAACATGTTTGGATAAGTAACTTTATTTCCATTTTTTAAAAGAGCTTCTAATTTTATCAGGGAAAATATCTAGTCTTAATTATAAAGTTGGTGTTGTATATTAAATTCTAACAATTATATATATATATATATATATATATATATATATATATATATATATATATATATATATATATATATATATATATATATATATATATATATATATATATATATGTATATATATATGTATTTTATATATGTATATATGTATTTTATATATATATATATATATAAAATACATATATATATATATATATATATATATATATATATATATATATATATATATATATATATATATATATATATATATATATTTGCTTACTGCAAATAATTGCTTACTGCAAACAACTACCGTAATATGGTCAACATTCCTATATTAATGAATGGCAATCCTCTTACTGAGTCGTCCTCTTTACGTCTTCTTGGATTATCGCTTACTACTGACCTTTCATGGAAACCATATATACAATCGATTGCTAAATTAGCTTCTGCTAAGGTTGCTTCTCTTTATCGTGCTCGCCATTTCCTTACTTCTGATTCCATTCTCTACCTCTACAAATCTCTTATTCGTCCCTGTATGGAATACTGTTGTCATATTTGGGCTGGTTCTTCTAACGATTCACTTTCTCTTCTTGACAAGGTCCAAAAACGCATTGTAAATGTTGTTGGACCTGGACTATCTGCTAAGCTTGAACCTCTTTCCCATCGTCGTAAAGTTGCATCTCTTTCTCTTTTCTACAGATACTATCATGGTCACTGCTCAAAGAAGTTATCATCTCTAGTTCCATTAACTAAAATTCATTCTCGTTTTACTCGTCATTCAGCTAAGTCTCATTCGTTTTCTGTATCTGTCCCTGCATGCTCTAAAAACTTTTATTCATCTAGTTTTTTTCCCCGCACTTCAATCCTTTGGAACTCTCTCCCATCTTCATGTTTTCCTGACTCATACAACCTTCAACTTTTTAAGTCTTCTGTCAACCGTTTCCTTGCTCTATAACTCTGTTCTTTTTTTTTAATAGTGGTTGCTTGCAGCCTTGTTGGGAGTGAATGCAAATAAAAAAAAAAAAAAAAAATGTTCATATATATATATGTATTTTATAAACGTATATATATATATATATATATATATATATATATATATATATATATATATATATATATATATGTATGTATGAGAGAGGCATATTCTGTGTGTATAATATAAATGTATTTTTTTTTTAATTTCAAAATATCGTCATGTCTAGTTATTTTTATTTAAAAATATAAAATTAGCACGATGGTTTAGAAATAATGGTTTAGAGTTTAATATTTATTAAGAATTTAATATTTTTATAGTTTAAAATTTATTTACTGTTTTATTAAAAGTTTGTATGAGAGTTTTATTAAGTATCTGTATACAGACCTATGAAGTCTCTCACATTTAGCTAAAGTTTTCTGAATTTTGAAGGGAAATTTATCTCCAACCGACATTTAAAAATAGTTATAAAAACTTTCTTTTCCTCATTAGTAAATTAAAATACAGCAAACTTTCAACTTTTTAAATTGTTTTTATTTTAAAAGTTAAGAAAAATGGCCAAAGATTGTTAAAAATTGCTCAACACACACATAAATATAAATATACAAATAAAATTTCAGCTCAGTCAGTGGCCAAATTTAACTATTTTTAAAATAGTTGTCATAGTAATAAATTGTTAAAGAACTTATTTAGTCGGTAGAGGTAATTTAGTGAGAAAATATTGTGTTGCATTAAGGTTTCTCCATCGTAACATCGTCTCCATCGTAAACATTTTCAAAACATGACAGCTATGTGTATACACGTAAAAAACTTATATATTCATTTATATATATGTAAATAATGTATATATATAAATATATATATATATATATATATATATATATATATATATATATATATATATATATATACATATATATAGTATATACATATATACATATCGATTATTTACATGTTTCTGTCTTTCGCTATATATATATACATGTATATATATATATATATATATATATATATATATATATATATATATATATATATATATATACATGTATATATATACATGTATATATATATATATATATATATATATATATATATATATATAAATATTTAAATAAAACAAATGCTGCCTGTTTAGATAATCTATTATAATGGCTTGACAATCTTGGGATTTATTTGTTTTATTTTTTTTAACAGGGTTGAAGCAAAGGCATTTATTCCATCTTGTTAAGTGAAAGATGGATGTTTATTTTGTTCAACTGGTGTTCATGCAATGAAAACTGCCTATAATCATTTTCCAATCGATGATTCCTGCAACAAGCTCAGACTTAAAAGAATTAAAGTAACTGGAGGTCATTACATTTTACAATACTCGTTGCTATTTTAATTGTTTTCTATGATTAAAAAAACTTTTACAGTTTTATATTAACAATGAAGTACTATACCAAAAAAACTTTTTTTTTTTTTTGAATAAGTAATATTTTGAATCTGTTTATGGTATTATTATTGTCTAGATATATACTGTAATCTTTTTACACTTATTATACATTTTAGTTTTTACATATTTTTGTTTATATTTATTTTACTAAAAAATTACTAATAGATAAAGAAGTATGTGAAGGATTTAATTTCCCAACTACAGAGTACTCCAAAGAATGTAAGTAATTATGTTTGTAAATACTTTTGTTTCTCTTTTGATTTAACTTTTCTTTGTTTTTTATATGGTAAAGAATAAAATAACACCTAATATTAACTATTGGTCAAAGCTGATTTTAATATTTCTGTCTAAATTATTTGACTTGTGGTAGTTTGATTACCAGTGTAATTTTATTTTGTAAAGTTTTGGTGGATAAGGATAGAGGAATAATATGGTTTTAACTGGTTTCGATCTTATGAACAAAGTACATAATATGATTTAAATTTATAATTTATAGTTACACCTATTGAAGAAAGTTTTGTTTAGGTAATTAATGTATGGATATATGACTATTTTTAGTTGTAAAATATGTACATATATATATATATATATATATATATATATATATATATATATATATATATATATATATATATATATATATATATATATATATATATATATATATATATATGTATATATATATATATATGTATATATATATATATATATATATATATATATATATATATATATATATATATATATATATATATATATATATATATATATATACACACACATATACAGTAAACTCCCGGTTATTCGAACCTTCAAAGGGTAAAAGAATTTAGTTCGAATAACTTAAAATGATCTTTAAAGTGACCTATTTCAAGTTACTTTCAAATTTTAATACAAGTAGAAAGTAAAAAAAAAAAGTCCTTGTAAAACAATAAATGTTTTACAATTTATTGAAAAAATGGTCCATTTTTCTTTTTTTTTTTCTTTTTAAATATGTTTTGTTTATCGTCAAGGGGAGAAAAACATTGTTTCCAATAACTGCAGGTTACATAAATATATATTTATTCTCGACATGTTTCATAAAATTTATTTACATTTTCAAAAGATTATTTTACAATAATAAAACTCTGAAATAAATTAAAATTAAAAAATAGAAGTCTTTACAGAAAAATAATAATGAACAAAAATTTAAATTATAAACCAAAATATTTTTTACAAAGTAACTAAATCAAAAAAAAGAAAAATATATAAATAATAATAAACTGACAGTAAAATTAAATAGTTAAGTTTATAGCATAATGTGGAGGACTTCTTTTATTTTTAATTTGTGTTTTGTTGGGGCATTATCCAAAATCTCAAAAGAATCACAGTTAGCCAGATTTCTGAAATTAATAGATAAACTTAAGTGTTTAAATATATGAGATTGTTTATCACTTTTAAGGTGCTCATTTATTCTAGTTGCTAAATGTCTGGAGAGACCTCCAGATGTTTGGCAGACATTTTTTCATAGTTTTATAATTGTAAAATAGTCTTATGAAAATGTAAATAATTTTTACAAAACATTAGGGCCTTGGCCCCAGCTAAAAATGAGACTTTTTGCAAACCCGATCCCCGCCAAAATTATAAGATTTAGCATGGGTTGATAGCCGGGGTTAGAAAAAAATTTATAATACTTAATATATTATAATTTTATGCTTGCATTTACTATTTAATACATACTGGCATATATTTATATAATTTAAAATCTAATTCACTTCCAACAAGATTGCAAGCAACCACTATTAAGCAATGAGTTACTTTCAAATAAAGAACCAGTTAAAATACTAGGAAACCTATAACTAAAAACATAAAAAGTGTAAGTTTTATAAAAAAGGAAAATATGAAGTTTTGTAACAGTTATAAGATTTTGTTGATGTTCAGGGAAAAAAATTGAATTATTTATCATGCTCTAAAAAGATTTTATAGCATGAAGGAACAAATACAGTTAATAGATGCAACTTGTTGAATAAATGGCCAATTGAGAATGAGTTTTGGTTTATCGTTATAGAGATGAGAGTTTGTTTGAGCATTGACTATGATTGTATTTGTAGAAAAAAGAAAGAAATGCAACCTTATAACAATGAGAGAGTGGCTCAACCTTGGCAGATAAAGCTGATCTTATTACATTTACAATGTGATTTTAGACTGATTCTAGACTTTGTCTGATAGTAAGAGGGTTGTTATTTGTCAATATAGGAATGCCAACAATTTGTAATATTTTTTTGCAGTTGATAAATGAGTTTTGTTGTCTAACAAAAATTGTGGAATTTAAGTCCAGAATTTAAATCCATAAGCCACAGCAGGCCTTAGACTGATACAGAAGAGAGGTCAGATTTAAAATTGGCTGCTTGTTCTAAGCAATTAAAGATGATTTTTTATCAAGACAAGAGTGTAAAGTGGATTCATCAACAAATTTATTCACTTTAGATTTCATTATGGTTGTTATTGTAGATAAAAAATATTACAGGAGCAATTATAGAACCTTGTGGTTCTCTTAAAGTTACTTGAAATATAGAAGAGGGTAGGCCTTCAAGAATAACTTTACTACTGCAGTTAGAAAGAAATAATTTAACAACCTCAAAACTTTTACATAGAAAATTATAAGAAACTGGTAACAGAGTGAAGAGTAGTTGTAGGATACTTGGAGAGGTCAAAGTGTTTTGAAAAATTTGAACCATGTATTTAGCACTTTTTAAAAGTTTAGCAAAAAATGTTAAGAGTTCTGAAGAACACTTTTTTAAGACTATGATGGAAATCTTGTCTGAAGTACAAATGGTAGAAGTGTTTAATTGAGAATTAATTTTAGTATTGGAAGCCAGAGTAATTAAGATGCTTAACAATGGATTATTCTGTTTAACTGTCAGGAAGAGTATGTCCATTACATTGGAGAGAAAATGATAGTAAGATTTCTTTGTAAATAGCTCTGCTTTACTCTGGGGTAAAGTAAAAAGATCAGACCCATGATTTAGAGAATAAACGTTAGACTTACTTGAGTTATTGACACTGTTGAAAACTAACCAAAAGTCTCTTGAACCTAACATTTAAGAATATATATACTGGGTTTAGTAAATTGAGAATAACAGAGATTTACATCAGACAAGACTTTATTTATACATTTGCTTATTGTAATAATAAAAAGGATAATTTGTTCTTAAGAGAGATGTTCTTATAAAAAAGATGAAAAAAATGATTAATGTTGAAAGATGTAGAGGAGAATGTGGCTCGACTTAAAACTGAAGAGAAGTAATAAAAACTTCCAAACTTTTATTCCAGAAGCAATATAAGTCTCCAAGATTTTTTGCACTTTTTGCACACACATTACGGATATAATCATATCTGTTTGCTATTTTTTTAGATGCTGGCATACAATATCCTTTCATTGCTATATAAACTTGAGTATTTATATGGTGTAGTATTTGCCAAAAGGGAAGATAATCAGATGGATGTGTGGTGTGACTCTAACAAAACATAAAAAGAAGGCATGATCTTAGATTTTTTTTTAGAAAAGGTTAAAGTAATTTAGGTATCAACATGTAGAGTGGTAGCAACTTTAGTATAAAATGTATAGAAGTAAGAAAAGTTGAAGAGTTTACCTTACATATTGTATAAATGAGCTTTAGTTAGGAATAAAAGTGTACTAGATTGTTTATATTAGGAAAACAGCTTAAAAGAGTAAGGCTAAAGCCTAATGGTGATGATGATGATGATCATGATTATGATGATGATCATCATCATCAACATAATCTTCCTTATTATTGTCAAGCTTTTTGCTTTTATGCTGTTGATGATGATGATGATTATGATGATCATGTATATGTATATGTATATATATACAAAATATAAAATGAATTTTAAATTTTAAAAAATGTACTTTAGGATGTATAAATGTTTATGCAGCACTGGTTACAAACCCGGCCTCGACTATTTTTTATCAAACCTGGCCCCGGTCAAATATCAACCCCGGTCGTTTACTACAAAACATTTCAAGAATAAAAGACATTGTATTATTTTTAGAAATAGTTACTTATTTTATGCTATTACGAAGATCAATATATATATATATAAATATATATATATATATATATAATATATATATATATATATATATATATATATATATATATAAATATATATATATATATATATATATATACATATATATATATATATATATATATATATATATATATATATATATATATATATATATATATATATATATATATATATATAGACATAAATTATTTATATATATATTTATTTTTACTTTTTAAATTTAATAATGATCATTCTTATTCAAGAACATTGTTTTAAACATTTGCTATCAGACTGCTAATGATACAAGTTATATTTTTTGATTTAGATTCTGTATCTCAATAATATCCTGACCTATCGAATCGATATCTTGGTAATACACTTACACACATAAATCTTTTTAAAAATGTTTATATTTTAATCTATATATCTATAAATTGTATATTTTATATAAATTAATTGTATATTTTTAAATTTTTCATTGCATATTACTGTTTGTATTAAAAATCAATTTTAGAAATATTACAAGTACAGAGCTCAACATACAATTTAGTTTTATTTGACAATTCAATATATATCATAGCATAGTTTAATTACATTTAATAACATTTTGCGATGTTTTCTCCAGCGCATTTAGGCGTTGATTCAACGTTATATTTCAACCTTTACTCGACGTCTTTGAGTCACGTTAAATCGACGTTTTACTGCCAACGTTAAAAATCCTTGCAAAATCGACTGCTTTAACAACGTTACAGTAATGCTTTTCAAGTAACATTTTTTCAACGTTAAATTGCGACATATTTATAACGTCTTTTAGTAACGTTTTTTCAACGTTACGCTACAACGTTTAATCAACGGCTCTTTTACAACGTTACATATCTTTGCAAAATTGATTACTTTGTCAACGTTTCCGCAACATCTTTTGCGACCGGTTTTCAACGTTGATTCAACGCTGACATGTTTGCTGGGCAGTTGTCCCGGAATCTTGCGATTGATTTTTCACTACCTTTCGGACTAGCTAGAGCTCTGAAACTTCCAGCATATGTGTAAATTTAATAAAAGTAAATCTTAAAATTGTTTTCAGAGCCTACTGGAGAACTCCACTTTTTGGAATCTCATTTTTTTTTATAATTATTTTACTTTATCTTTTAGACTTTACTTTGATCTTACTTTATCATGACAGCATTTGGGTAGTCCCAATGAAATTGCATGTTAAATTTGTTTCCTGCAAAGAGGGTTGTACCCTTTATTTTTTTCTCTAATATTTTGTTTTTCTCTAATAATTGAGGTCTTTAACTTTTTAGAAAGAATGATTTTTGCAAAAAACCTTTAAAAAGGCATTTTTTTTTGTTTATTTGTTTTAGTATTAATTTTTTTGTCGGGAGGAAATAAGTTAATGGCCCTAATAAAAATTTACCATAAAAGAGCCGTGCATATTTGTAGCTATGCTGCTGCTTTTTGCTTCTCTTAATCAGTGTGGTTGTTGTTAACGCTAATGCGCTAACTCTAATGCATATAAAACAGCTTGGGGTGTGATACCCCCTTCACCACCCTGGTCCAGGTCGTAACCACTCTAACAGAAATGAAATTTTTTTTGTTTTTGTTTATTTATTAATATCTATTCATAAAACTGTTGTCTGGAATTAACTAATTTCAAATAGTCTATTCCAGACATTAATTATTCCTTTATTATTCTACTATCTAACAATTATTCTAGTTAGTTATTTCAAGAAATAACTTTGATTTGGTTAGATTGGTTTTTAACAACAACCACGCTGAATAAAAGAAGCCAAAATGCAAAACTTAAAACAAAATTGCAAAATGCAGAGTCATTTCCAAAGCAAGAATAATAAACCAGACAGTCTTTTAAAAAAAATATTTAAATAACTGATGTAAATAACATTAAAAAAGTTAAAGTTAAAATAGTAAAAGTAACTTTAAAATTAACTTAAAAAAAATTTATAACTTTTCATAACTACAACAACCGCTTATTTAATTTATAACGAATTTAGTAGGATGGTTCAAAAAAGCAAAATACTTTTTAAAATACTGGTTGAAATACTTTTCCTCATTTTCAGTTAAATACAAAGTTTTAAAGTAAAATTTCAATTCTTCTCTTTAAGTAGCATCGAGTACCGCAAGTTTCTCGAGCTTAAGTTACTTCTTTCTTTGCGATAAATAAAGTTAGCAACACTAAATGAGGATTCTGGCCGTACCGAACTAGCAGGTGAAGACATACCTCTCTAGTTTTAGAGGCTAACATTGGGATATCGTTTTCATACTTGTACCAAAATTCATCGAATTTCCAAGTTTTTGCTTTTATAGTATAATTGAAAAAGGATAACTCCTCTTTTATATTTCGCTCTGACTGTGTTTTTTCTTCGCACAGATTAAAACCACACAATGTTGCAAGCTTAGCAAACCCATTTTTGCATTTAACAGGAACTTCAGGTGAAACGTGAAATTGAACATCATTACTTGAATCCATCATATCTAAAAATGAAAACAAGTATTTCATATTTGCTGAAATGTAATCTATTTTTTAACAACACTGAAAATGTAAAAAAAGTAAAATTTTTATATAAATTTAAAAACAAATGTTTTTTAACAAACATAAATTTTAGGTTTATAACTAACCGCTTCTCGAATAATTTTGTTCATTTTGCAAACAAATGTTTGTATGCGTTGATCTTCGAGGATATTGTCGGAGTGCTGACTTTGCAAATTTTTTTCATAAGTTTGCTTTCTGTTTCTTGATATTCTTTTTCTGTAAGACACACGTTTGTTCTCGGATCAAAGAAACATGCTAGCAAACTTTGCAGCTTTTGTTTTGTAGACATCTTTTCAACAAAGTATACCTTCATGAACTTGAGAAGACTAGCTCGTAACATGTTCTCTCTTTCAACCGTAGGAGATGGTTGTAAAAGAAAACATTTAGCTGAAGATTCATTTTTAAGAAAGTTCATTAACGTATTTTGAACGAATTTTGCTAAAGAAAGCGTTGGAAAATTTTTAGTAGAGAGAAGTTTAGTTGCTTCAAAAAATGGAGCAAGGTTATAATGTAAAATGTCTAGGAACTTCCAGTCATCTGATAACAAAGCTAGTTTCTTGAGTTTATTAATCTGTTTTTCTGTTAACCCATCGATAGTGCCACGATCTATGGTAATTTTACTATAAACATATTTTGCTTTTATTATCTTACTAATCATCAAAAACGTTGAGTTCCAACGTACATGAAAATCTGACGAAAAGTTTTTTAATTTCAGTCCCTGCTTCTTAATCTCACTAAAAACAAATGATTGCAAAACAGAAGATTGTTTAACATTAGCTATCGTCTTTCTTAAGCTGACGTCTTCTTTGTCATAAGTGCATGCAATTTTTTCTTGATTGTCAGATGAAATATTTCCATTTGATTTGATATCGCTTTCATTATAATTATTGTAATATATAAGATCTTCATCTACATCTGCTGTGCTATCTAATAAGTTATTTGATGGTTTAATCCACAATTTGATTCCATGGTTCAAAACAAGATTTAAATTATGACAAATGCATGAAAGTTGTAAAGCAATAGATCCCATCGCCTTTTTAATATCTTCAGCGTTGTCAGTTGTAATTGAAATAATTTTAGATTCAATTTCAAATTTGTTAATTTCTTTTTGTACAAATGCTGTAAGTCTATTACTTAATTGCCTTCCATAAAACCTACAAAAACAAACTATTTTTGATTTGTATTCAAATTTTTTTGTTAAGTAATGCGCTGTTATGCAAAGCCAATACGATCCAACTCGATTTTTTCACAAATCTGTTGCTAGTGCTAAGTAGGCAACTAACTTAAGCTTAGCTTTAAGATCGTTCTTGTTTTTGGAAAATTGAAAAACTTTAATTGTCTTGTCTTAATCTTGAAAACTTATTTAATTTTAGTTTCTACATATATTAGGAGAAATTTATTGACAATTTATTTATATTAAATCCCTTTGTTACCATGACTCTAAGCATTTTAATATTGAAATTTAAAAAAATTATAAATAAGTAATTTACGGTGACATCAACACTGTTATATTTCAATTACATCTACGTTTTTAAAACGAATAATTAGTACATGTTATTCTAGAGTATTTAAAGATAAGAAAAACCAATGTGTGAAATAAATATGTCATAGCATGTTATTTCAGTTATACTTTGAAATTTTTTTTTTTTTTTTTTTTTTTTTTTAAATTCTTTATTACAATCATTACTACAATTTCTATTATAGCTTGTGAATAAAACGTAAGACATAAAAAAAAGAAATAAATAATATTTACAATAAAGATTTCGTTAACAATAGAAATATGACAATAAATATGACAATAAAAATTAGGAATAAAGAATGCGGAAACTCGAAGAAGTCCTTGAGGTCTTGTCGTAGAGAACCGCTGGAATCAAAACGCTTTAAATGAATTCATTTTTATTGATTTTTTGTAAATGTTTATTAGCTTTTAAATTGGATCTGTTCCGATAAATAATTATATAAACCGTTGCATAGAATAGTTAAAAATAATATACTTCAGTATAATTATCGATGTGTTTGATGACGTCATAGTGTGTTAGTGATGTTAATATAAATCGAGTAAATTAAAAAAAAAAAAAATAATTGAATTGAACATTTCTTGCATTAAAATTGTAGAAAATAAAATCAGAGTGGGGTTCTTGAATTCTTGTTGATAATTAGCTCTTGTTCTAACCCAGTAAGCACAAGACGCATTTTAGACACTTATAGACGTCTAAAACTAGTCTAGGTAAAGACGCACTTTTATAGACGTTTTAAAGATATCTTTTAGACGTCTTTTATAAAGGCGTTTTTAAAATGACGTTTAAAAGGCGTCTATTTAAGCGTTAAAAAAACGTCTAGAAGATATCTTTTTTTAAGACATCTTTTAGACGTCTTTAATAAATGCGACTTAACATGACGTTTAAAATGAGTTTTTTTAAAGTTTAAAAATACGTTTAAAAGACGCGTAATAAATAGTCTAAAATACGCATTAAAAGACGTCTAGATCAAAGCTAAAAGACGTCTTTTCTGAGACCTGTTTATAAATATGTCTACTTTTTGACGGCTTTGTCATTACGCGTTAAGTAGATGTCGTAAATTCAAAGTAAAAACATAGTTTTTATTATTTTCAATAATTTGTTCAAGTTTTAAGTGTAAATTACTTTAAATTAAATTACTTTTTTACACAATTGCTAAAATTGTTGTCACAGGAATTACTAAAATAATTGCTATAATAATAATATATCTTTTTTTTATTAATAATTATTTTGCTTTTTTAATAGATAGTTGACTGATCATGATAATAAGTGAAAATGGCAAGAATAATATATAAGTTAAATATCAGTACTTTTAGTTTTTATACACCCACAA